CATCTCTCATCACTCTCTCCCGCAGGGGGTTCACGCTGTTCTGGATCTGCACGGCTTTGTCAGCGTCGTCTCTGTTGTCAGCTCCTCCGTACTGGAGGAATCCGACATCACCAAACCGCCATCAGTGACCTCCGAGAGCGACGAGGAGGAAGACATCCAGCACAACGTGAGTGACACCCAGCTATGAGACTCCTCCCCCTGCAGGGTGATACCGAGCTATGAGACAACTCCTCCTGCAGGGTGATACCGAGCTATGAGACTCCTCCCCCTGCAGGGTGATACCGAGCTATGAGACTCCTCCTCCTGCAGGGTGATACCGAGCTATGAGACTCCTCCCCCTGCAGGGTGATACCGAGCTATGAGACGACTCCTCCTGCAGGGTGATACCGAGCTATGAGACTCCTCCCCCTGCAGGGTGATACCGAGCTATGAGACGACTCCTGCAGGGTGATACCGAGCTATGAGACTCCTCCTCCTGCAGGGTGATATGAGTCTCCTCCTCCTGCAGGGTGATATGAGTCTCCTCCTCCTGCAGGGTGATATGAGACTCCTCCTCCTGCAGGGTGATATGAGACTCCTCCTCCTGCAGGGTGATATGAGACTCCTCCTCCTGCGGGGTGACACGGGGATAACCTTATTCTCCCTCTTGCAGGGTGACCCGGTTCTCGCCCTCCAGCCGCACTCTTTGCAGTTTTTGGGGAATCATGGGAAGAACATTTTGCTTTCACATGGGAACAGAACGGCTACACGCGTGTGCAGCTACAACCAGGGCATTGTGGTTCTTGCCCAGCCGTTGCCTCGGCTCTTCCTCTTCCAGGTACGGGGTGTGTGACATGTATGTGACACGTGTGTGGAGTGTTGTATGATAAGGGTGTCATGTGGCGGTATCCCGGGGACATGTATGTGACGTGTGTGATGCGTGTGTACCCGCAGGTGAGGATTGACCAGCTATCCCCGCGATGGACGTCGTCTCTCTCTATCGGAGTCATCGGCGTCTCGGCGGAGAGACTCAACTTCCCGGCCACGGCCGCCGCCATGAAGAGGAGCGCCTGGATCTTCCAGCGGGGGGCCGTCCTCTGCAACGGAGCCAAGGTGACCCCAATAATGTGTGACCCGTGTCATGGGGTGACCCCAATAATGTGTGACCCGTGTCATGGGGTGACCCCGATAATGTGTGACCCGTGTCATGGGGTGACCCCAATAATGTGTGACCTGTGTTATGGGGTGACCCTGATAATGGGTGACCCGTGTCATGGGGTGACCCCAATAATGTGTGACCTGTTATGGGGTGACCCTGATAATGGGTGACCCGTGTCATGGGGTGACCCCAATAATGTGTGACCCGTGTCATGGGGTGACCCCGATAATGTGTGACCCGTGTCATGGGGTGACCCCAATAATGTGTGACCCGTGTTATGGGGTAACCCTAATATTGTGTGACCCGTGTTATGGGGTGACTGACGCCTTGAGCAGCCCCCCCTCCCCCTGATTGTCAGGAGCAGAGGTGTGTGGCCCCTCCGAGTGATACCGAGCTATGAGACTCCTCCCCCTGCAGGGTGATACCGAGCTATGAGACGACTCCTGCAGGGTGATACCGAGCTATGAGACTCCTCCTCCTGCAGGGTGATATGAGTCTCCTCCTCCTGCAGGGTGATATGAGTCTCCTCCTCCTGCAGGGTGATATGAGACTCCTCCTCCTGCAGGGTGATATGAGACTCCTCCTCCTGCAGGGTGATATGAGACTCCTCCTCCTGCGGGGTGACACGGGGATAACCTTATTCTCCCTCTTGCAGGGTGACCCGGTTCTCGCCCTCCAGCCGCACTCTTTGCAGTTTTTGGGGAATCATGGGAAGAACATTTTGCTTTCACATGGGAACAGAACGGCTACACGCGTGTGCAGCTACAACCAGGGCATTGTGGTTCTTGCCCAGCCGTTGCCTCGGCTCTTCCTCTTCCAGGTACGGGGTGTGTGACATGTATGTGACACGTGTGTGGAGTGTTGTATGATAAGGGTGTCATGTGGCGGTATCCCGGGGACATGTATGTGACGTGTGTGATGCGTGTGTACCCGCAGGTGAGGATTGACCAGCTATCCCCGCGATGGACGTCGTCTCTCTCTATCGGAGTCATCGGCGTCTCGGCGGAGAGACTCAACTTCCCGGCCACGGCCGCCGCCATGAAGAGGAGCGCCTGGATCTTCCAGCGGGGGGCCGTCCTCTGCAACGGAGCCAAGGTGACCCCAATAATGTGTGACCCGTGTCATGGGGTGACCCCAATAATGTGTGACCCGTGTCATGGGGTGACCCCGATAATGTGTGACCCGTGTCATGGGGTGACCCCAATAATGTGTGACCTGTGTTATGGGGTGACCCTGATAATGGGTGACCCGTGTCATGGGGTGACCCCAATAATGTGTGACCTGTTATGGGGTGACCCTGATAATGGGTGACCCGTGTCATGGGGTGACCCCAATAATGTGTGACCCGTGTCATGGGGTGACCCCGATAATGTGTGACCCGTGTCATGGGGTGACCCCAATAATGTGTGACCCGTGTTATGGGGTAACCCTAATATTGTGTGACCCGTGTTATGGGGTGACTGACGCCTTGAGCAGCCCCCCCTCCCCCTGATTGTCAGGAGCAGAGGTGTGTGGCCCCTCCGAAATCCATACCAGACCCTTATACACATGGGGTGACCCCGATAATGTGTGACCCGTGTCATGGGGTGACCCCAATAATGTGTGACCCGTGTTATGGGGTAACCCTAATATTGTGTGACCCGTGTTATGGGGTGACTGACGCCTTGAGCAGCCCCCCCTCCCCCTGATTGTCAGGAGCAGAGGTGTGTGGCCCCTCCGAAATCCATACCAGACCCTTATACTACATTCAAATCTGGAGCCCCCTTCACATTAGAGCCCCAATC